GGCTCCGGCTCCGGCTCCAGCGCCTCGCGGGGCTTCTATTTCAACACGGTTTTGTCATTGGCCCGCTCCCTGGCCGTGCAGAGACCGGCATCTTTGGAGAAGGTAGCCTTGGCCTCTCGGGCCGCGGGCTGACAGGAGAAGGGGTATGGGGTGGCGAAGCGGGTAGGCGGGGCGGCGAGGGTCTGTGGGAGGCCGAGCGCGGCTCTCGAGCTGTCTGTGACAGGAGGGGGTACATGAGCGGCGGGAGCTGGCGGGGTGAGGAGGCCCATGGGCGGAGGGCGCTGGTGAAGAGAGGAGGGTCATGGGGGTGGTGCGGTCAAGGAGTGGACAGGGCAGGTGGGGATTTTGCAGGTGGGTGGCGTGGGAGGGACGTGAGCTACAGGCCTGGGTTTGAGCCGAGGGGCACCTTGTTGACATCGCAAGGGCGGGGGCGGCAGGCAGGGAGAAGCAGCGGGAAGAGCGGAGGACCAGAGTCAAAACCTGGGGCTCTGCTCCCGACTTCCTCTGCTTTTTATTCCGTGACCTTGGAGACATGCTGTTCTCGTTAAATGGGGGTGCTTACCTACTTTGGCCGCTTCACATTGTTGTGAAGGGCAGATGAAATAGTACATCTGAAAGTGCTTTTTGAAGTGCAAATCCGCGCGTTGTTTTTCTGTGAATCTAGAGGGGGCGTTAGACTGGGTAAAAGATTGTGTTTTGAAGAAGGGACAGTGGCAGGGAATGGGGAATGAATGAGAGTGGGCAGAGAATTATAGTATCATTATAGTATGTTAGCACAGAAGGGGTGATATTCTTTTCTTTTCCTTTCTTTCTTAGATTTATTTATTTGAGAGAGAGCGCGCGCACGTGCGTGTGCACGGTGGAGAGGGTCAGGGGAAGAAGGAGAGAGTCTTAAGCGGACTCCGGTGCTGGGCTGGATTTCACGACCCTGAGATCAGGCCTGGAGCTGAAACCAAGAGCCGGCTGCTCGATGGACTGTGCCACCCAGGCGCCCCAAGGATGAGATTCTTTTTTCATACAGTTTCTGGCGGGTGGAAAGAGATCTGTTGTCTAAGAGTAGGAGAAAAGTGGTGGAGACTGGAGACCTGTCTGCTGCAGTTGAGAGTAGTTTTATGGGGGCGCCTGGGTGGCTCAGATGGTTAAGCGTCTGCCTTCGGTTCCGGTCGTGATCCCAGAGTCCTAGGATCGAGCCCCGCGTGGGGCTCCCTGCTCGGTGGGGAGCCTCCTTCTCCTTCTCCCTCTGTTGCTACCCCTCCTGTGTTCGCTCTCTCTATCAAATAAATAAATAAAATACTTTTTAAAAAAGAGTAGTTTTGCGGCTCCGGTGAGGAGTGAGGCTGAAATGCTGTGTTAGGCTCTCTGGCATAGTGTCCTTGGCTTTGTGGTTTCTTAAGTCTGATTTCTCACTTACCTGCAGGATGAGCAGGTCCTGGGAGATTGATGCCAACTTGACTTCTAATTGAAGGAGGAATTCAAAAGAAGGGAAAGTATATGAGTTCTAGAGATAGGAACACCTGAATTTAAATCCTGTATCATTTGCTTACATTAGTGTGACTCTGGGTAGGTCAGTTCTCCAATCTGAACCTTTGCTTTCTCCTGCAAAATACAAGGACAGTACTTGTTAAGAGTATTATGAAGATCAACAAAATGACACATGAGTACCTAATGATTGAGAACTGTTATCATTGAATGAGCCTGACTAATGGACCATAGTGCTGGCTTATCAAATCAAATTCATGCCAGCTAGTCAGCACATTCTATTCTTAGGAGGACTAAAAAGCATATCAGAAGTTTGCTTGCTGGACTCGGAGAAGAGAGAAGAGATTGTAGGGAATTGGGTGAAGACAGTCCTGCAGCTCTAGCAGGGCACCCTTTCCCACTCAGTAACTCTGAGAAATGCACCTTAAGCTCAACTGGCCTTCTTCAGTCTTCTTCCATAATCACAAGAACATTCTGTAATTGCAACATTGTTAGCTTTGTATCTTATAGTAACTGCTTCAGTTGTCAAAATTAGGATCTGTTTTACAACTAATTAATACAGCTTTTAGGTTGGCAGCTTCCCAATACTATCTCTTAGTTTGGGAGATATTTCAGTTTCTTTGGCAACATTTACAAATCACTTTAGAAAAGAGTTAACAGAGCCAGCCTGAGTCTGCAATCTTCAGAAGGGATTGCTTGCAAGGTTGGTCCTTGGCTTACATCTGGGAACTTGACACTTGAACTGTTCCATTTTCTAATTGATAAGGGTGGTTCATTGTGCCTAGACTCTGAACAAACAATATGATTACCTGCTTTCCTCCTGGGAATCTGGAATTTTGATGGCTGCTAAGCAGACAGTGCCTGTGTCTATCAATAAAAACCTTGGATGCTATGTCTCTAATGGACTTCCCTAGGTACAAACATAGCATACATGTTACTACATTGTCTGCTGCTGTAGAGGGGAGCATGCTGGGTGTATACCTTCACAGGAGGGAGAGAACACAAGGAAGCCCAGGCACAGGTTTCTCCAGAGTCCACCTGTCTTTTTCTCTTGCTGATAAATTCACTGTAATACAATTTACTGTAATTTAGCTATGAGTACAACTATGTATGTGTGGGTAGTCTTGGGGACCCTGAAATAATTTCTTAAAGAAGGCTTTTGTAGGTGGCTGATTCCATCAGATATATGTGGATTCCTCTTATTCTCATTTGGGGTCTTGAGACTTCATTATGCTAGGGATCATTGCTACTATTTAGTCATATAATATATGGCTGCTTACTACATTCCAGTACTTTAATTTATTTATTTATTTTTTTAAAAGATTTTATTTATTTTTTAGGGGCGCCTGGGTGGCTCAGTTGGTTAAGCG